CAAATTGACCCACCCTAGTTACTACTGAACAAACTAGTCAACTCACTGAAAGATTTTAAGGCATTTATCTTTAAAAATCAACTTGGGACCAGGTGTGGTGGCTCAGGCCTGTCATCCCAGCACTTCAGGAGGTCTAGGTGAGGGGATTCCTGAGCCCACGGGTTCAAGAACAGCCTGGGCAACTTGATGAGACCTCATTGCTACAATAAGTAAAAAAAAAAAATTAGCCAGGCATGGTAGCACGTGCCTGTAGTTCCGGCTACTTGGAAGCCTGAGGCAGAAGGGTCGTTGGAGCCCAGCAGGTCGACGCTGGGGTGGCCGTGAGCGTGCCACAGCACTCCAGCCTGGGCAGCAGAGTGAGACTCCAACTCAAAAAAATATATATATCAACTTGGTTTCCAAAACTAGTATACCTTCCTATATACATTTATTTTTTATTTTCTTTATGCTTTTCTGAACTTTCGCACCATAATTTCCACTCCCTGAGCAGCTCAGTTCCTCTGTGATTAACTTGAAAGCTTGGGAACATTGCTGTAATTGGGGTTTAGGTCACTGTGAGTGGGCTTTGCATAGCTGTTTATTGGGTGGCAAAGAAATGGCAAGTTTTGGTGACTTGATAATACATCTTGTATCTAATTGGACATGGGAAGGGTGTGTGGTCAGGGCTTACTGTGCTCTGAGATCCTAGGTTGAGAGTCCGTCCGTTGTGTGCACCTGTGTTACTGTGATTGCAGTTCGGCTCTTCGGGGCTTAGGGACCCTCGCCTTTTTCATGACTGTCTGTTGTAACTGTGTTTTGTGTGTGAAATGAAACAATGGAAGGACTGAGCCTTCTCCTGTTTCTTCGTAAACGTGACTGGCTTTTTATGGAGCTACAGTCTGTGTTTCACAGGACGCAAGGTGTGAAATGTGATTATTTGCAATCTCATCAGCTCAGTGGTGGATGAGGCGCTGTGAGGCCTTGGAGAGGAGGCCTCGAGCTGCGTGGGTCGGGAGTGAGGAGGACGACCGGGGACACTCCTGCCGGACCGGGGGAGCCACGCGTGCTGGGCCAAGCTTCCGGCCGGAGGCTCCTGGGTGGTGGCGGGCTCCCTGGAGCCCTGCAGCTCTCGCGCTGCGTTCAGGCAGCAGCGCGCATCGTCTTGTGCGGCCTCGCCGCAGCCTTCCTGATGGAGCCGTTGCTGCCTTGTGGGAAGGTCACCCAGTAGTCCTAGTGTGCAGGTGTGGATGCCTCCCGTCCTTCGCTGTAGGGTCTGCACAACCGCATGCGTGTCAAGGCTGGAGCTTCCCTGGGCCACCGCACGCCTCACTGAGCTGCACCCAGTGCCCCCTTCGGGCCCTCCTCCCGCCCCGGCTTGCCTCAGGAGCCCGTGTCATTAGGCTCCTGCCTCTTGTCTTTTTCCAGCTCCTCTGCCCTTCCTCATCTCGGGACTTCGAGCCTCTAGAGAGTGCTGGTCAGTGGTTTTATAGACTGCCCCCTGGTGTGCATTTGTGAGATGCTTCCTTCTTTTCCTTTGTCTTTTTTGGAGGTTGGGTCTTACTCTGTCGCCCAGGCTGGAGTGCAGTGGTGCCATCGTAGCTCACCGCAGCCCCACCCTCCTGGACTCAAGCAGGGACTGCGGGTGCCCACCACCACACCCAGCTATTTGTTTGATTATTTTTGTGGAGACAAGGTCTTGCTGCGTTGCCCTGGCTGGTCTCGAACTCCTGGCCTCAAGCAGTCATCCCACCTCGGCCTCCCAAAGTGCTGAGATCACAGGCATGAGCCACTGTGTCTGACCGTGCGTTTGTCAGATGTGTCCTGTCCTTAGGACTGGGTTGAAGTTTCGCGGCTTCGGGAAGAACACCACGGAAGTGATGTGCCTCTCATCAGACGGTGATATCTGTGTGTCTTCATGATGGTAGATCTTTCTCTTTGCGCTCAGTAAGTGTCTTGGGCAGGAGATGCCAGGAGACTGCAGGTATCCCGATTCCCTCAGACTTTGCTGTCCAGCTCAGGCAGCCCCCGGTGGGTCTCATAGATGGAGGAGTGGGGTACAGAGGCAAGTCTCCTGCTTGGTTAGTGGCAGGATTAAAATTCAGCTGTTGAGAAAGTGGAACTTGCAGCTCAGATTCTTTTTTTTTTTTTTTGAGTTGGAGTCTCACTGTCGCCCAGACTGGAGTGC